GTTAATGACTTCTCTGTATCTTCAAGTGTGCTGCTGCGTCTTCTTCATGTCCCTTTTGTAGAGGTTCAAAACAACTAAAACAGGCAGCTGTGGCAGGAGTAGCTACCAGAGATAAGAGCTCTTATTGGCAACATGTTTTTTTTCTTTACATGTTCCGTCCTTGCTATGGTACATTAGAGCGGCTATGAACATTATTATTACATACAGTATATCATTACAGGACCACTTGTATTAGCATGGGGTGACTCATTCTGATCAATTCTGATTTTTTTCCCCTTCAACATAAAAAGCACTTCTTTACCCTCCCCATCACTCATATTCAGGGGAAACAAAAAGATGTGGCACTACATTTATTTATGTTTGTTTTTTAAATTGTGACTTCAGACATGTTATCTTCTTACCAGTGGCGGTTTTAGACCACTTTTACTGAGGGGGCCAAACTGGGGCCAGTTGTTTTGTCAGAGGGGAACATTAAACCCAGGTGAAAAATGGACAAAGATAATTGCTTCAATATATATATACAGTAGTATATATATATATATATGTATATATATATATATATATATATTATGCCAAATAATAGTGCACATCATTAAATACCATGATTTACATTTGTTTCAGTTAATATCACAGTAGATTGTGAGTCTGGTTGTTGAGTCCAATACAGTGTATGTGTTATTAGGGGGGCTCTTCCTTTTGTAGGGGTGGCCACAGTGGGGACCAAGCTCAGTGTTACAGGGGCCCTGTTGGCCCCTGCCTAAAACCACCCATGCTTCTTACTGAGTCTTTAAACACAGGCTAAGAAGATTTTAATTTTGCCCCTCAGCTCAGTTAATTTATAAAGCTGAAAATGAAACCGTAACATATTTCAGATAAAGTTTGCAGTACAACATCTACAATATGTCACGGTAAATGGACTTAAGCTTGTGTAGCGCTTTTCTAGTCTTCTGACTACTCAAAGCACGATTACACCGCAGGTCACACCTTCCCATTCACACACTGATGATAGAGGCTGCTGTGTAAAGTGACCATCAGAAGTAACTAATCCCAACCGTACACATTCATACGCCGACAAAGCAGTGGGAGCAATTTTTGGGGTTCAGTGTCTTGCCCAAGGTCACAACGGACATGTTGATGCAGTAGCTGGGGATCGAACCGCTGACCTTCCGGTTGAGAAACGGCAGACTCTACCAACAGATCAACAGCTGCCCAATGCTGTTAGGCTTTGCTTACGTGCTGTAAACAGGAGAAGACTAAATATTAACTATATGATACGTCACGTGATGGTGTTTTCAAAGTAAATTATCGTTTTATTTTGCAGGGTTCATGTCACTATCTGTTTGCCACTTTTCATTCCACACTCTCTCAACCCAGTTTCCTACTTATATCCACTCTCCTTTTCTCTCAAAAAGACTTAAAGCCCAGGTGCATCCACTTCTATATTTTGATTAAAAACGTTGAATTAGCATCATGCTGCTTTTCAATGTTAGTTTTGGTGGAGAACTTAATATCAGTGCTTTGTTTATGATTACATGAATTTGTTTGATTGTTGAAGCAAAAGTAGAAAGATTGCTCCTTTGTGTCTCTCTCTGTGTCTGATACAACAAACTACCGCCTGCTGTTTGAGATTACCTGAACTTTCTTTTATTAAACTCAATTCAGTATGGTGTTTTGTGGTTCATTGTTGTGCAATTAAGACAACAATTGTAAATCATGATTACTTCTTGCCTCTTAAGGGCTTTCCCGTCTTTAAATTATAAAACACCCAACACACTTCGAGCTACTCTGTGCAAACAGCCAAACAGCGCAGATATTATAATAGGCTACATCTGAAAAGTACATTATGTAGAATGAGAATAACACATTTTGGTAAACAGAGTGCTCTGACAAAAAGGAGAAACAATATTACAAATGTAGAGCCATGCTATCTTCTCTGTGAGACTGCACAGTGGTGTGTTTAATATGTGCCACATGAATTTAGGCTATCGCTATACAGACATACAGATAAGGCTGATGTAATGTGATTAGTTTTTTTAGGTATCAAAGTTTTGGCCAGCATTCAGTCGGACTTTCACATCCTCTTGGGACTATGAAACTTGATTTTAATAGAAATATTTCATTTGCATTTATACATTTCAATTTTTTAATGAATCTGTCTGCTCTTTTCTGGCTGTGGCTGAATCATCCATTAGTTAATATCCAACAGTGTGACCTGGAAATGTACTGGTAGATGACTAAGTAATGATCATTGTCCTGAATAAAAATGACATTTTGAAACATAAATTAGATCAAATTAAAGTTCATGTTACTCAAATGATTCACAATAAAACTGCTTTCTCAAAGGGCTTGTTCTCATTCTGAACATGCTCTTCCTTTGCCTGATTGCTGTGGTCAAGGTGCCCTTGTGCAAGGCACTTAGCTCCCATGGAGATGATCTGTAACCCAGATGTGACTCTGTGTTAGTACGAGGGCCTTTGTGATGAAGAATACGTTCGTTAATGGAGAAATAAAGGTCAAAAGAATAACTATGATCATTGCCACCAACATCACAGCACTTAAGCATTTCCCTGCTCCCATTTCTGCCAAACACCCAGAACCAGCTAATTAAATTTCCTGTCAGGCATGGAAATCTCTGCTGCTTTCATCGTTCCTCTGTCCATGTCAGTCACTTCAGGGACATGCATAATGACATGTGTTTCAGGGCTGCAATTCCCCTGTGCATGTAAGACATTTCTCTCAAATCACCCCCGCCTGTATGCTAAACACTAATGTGACGCTGAGTTCTGATTGTGTTAGCTCGTGTTGCACTTGTCCAAGGTAGGCACATGTAACAATGTGTCCAGGAGGATGTGTGGCAGCCTTATTGGAGCTGGAGAGTCAAGTTCAAGTTCAAGTTTAATTGACACATATCATCATACAGGGTAAAATCATTGTGACATGAATGTCTGCAAGCTCCTGCAATAAAAAAAACTAAATGGGAGGGGCAGTCATAGGCAGACATGTATCCATAGGAAGGTGCTTTTTCTGATGGCAGTAATGTTCTTTATCAAGATGCTTTGGATGGTACAGGAGTTATAGTTTCAGGGGCTATTCAGACTTCCAGAATTCTCTGAGGTGAACAGTCTCTTCTTTGCCTTACTTACCACTGATTCACTATGCAGGCCTAATGTAAGGCCCACCATGATCTAGACACTAAGGTACTTCAGACTGCCCCCCCCTCTCAAAACAAGACAAGTAGATAAAATGGGAGGGTGAGGCAAGTTCCCTCCCCAACTGGGAAGTGATTTGAATAAGTGAACATCAGACGTTAACCAATCCCTTCCTGTGTTATGGAACAACCTACAACATTTATTGCTTGTATGAAAGATCCCCTGCCTGGTTCTCTTTTGATAAAGTTTTCATGTATTTAATAAGGGGAAGACAGCGCAAGCTAACTAATTTACTGTTTGCCATGTATGTACACACCCTAAAAAACCAACAACCTCCAACTCCCCTGAATCTCTCTACCTGCCTCTCAGCTTCCTGTATGGACGGAGCTTGTAGTAAATAAAAGCAGCCAGTTCAACTTAAACATACTCTGAAAACAAAAAAGATGACAGGTTGCAAGCAGATTATCTACCCAAAGTTTGAACTGTGTGTTTGATCTGTAAGCTTCCATAGGTAGAACATTTTTTGTAGTAACCTTGGTTTTTAATGATTAATATGATGAATTGATTTAGTCACAATTATTATTAACTACAATTATGATTAATTACGAGTAAATTACTAATTGAATTTACCTCTAGATTACAAATTATGCTAAACTGTATCATATGCAAATTTAATGATGTCATTGTTTGTTCAGGGACAACAGCAGGGGGCTTAGAACGTCACCCTGGGGTTCTCCTATATTATGGATAAGAAGGGTGAAAGTCTGAGACCTATGTCTGTCCTCCTACTTGAGATATTATGACTTAACAGCGTCACATAGACACACAAGTTGTGGGAACCCAACACCCACCCAACAACCCAATCAGCCACAGACACACTCCCTCAGGGCTAATGAGTACAGTACAGCTTTGAACTTAGCTGCCACTCGTCTAGGAATGCACTCTTTGCCAGGAGTCACACTGAACAGTGGGAATCCAGTGAAAAAAAACAAACACCAGATTACATGCACAATTATACTTCCTCACAATGAGGGAATTACACATACTATCTGTATCTGCTTGTTCATATATACCTGCATAGAACATTTTTTACTGTCATCGTGCAACATAAAAAGTGGTGAATTATTTTGTATTTTGTGTCTGTAATCGTGCTTTCTGTCTCTGTTTGGCCCCTGTGTGTGTTATTAAGCTGAGGTGTAATGAGTAGGGACAGTGCCCTGTTGTTTAGCCATGAAGTGTTGTTTTCCAGCTGGAAGTGCCATTAACCTGTGAGGAGGATTAATTGTGAGGTTGCACAATCTGACCTAACCAACATTTTTTTTTTTGGCTTCAGGGAGTGTTTTCAAATGCTTGTCAGGAATGTTTACATGTACACACAGTCCTTTTGAGGTACTTGACAGAACAAGTAGCTTTGCACTAAAGTGTAATTTGCTCTCTGTTTTGAAGTGTTAACCAGGGTGGTGTTGGGATGGATGCAGTATTAACTTCCCGTCCCTTCAACTAACCAAAACCCACATTTAATTTACAGATTAAAACAGATCTCTCAGGTCTGCTCGGTCCATAGCAGAAAAAAAATATTGTTGGTTTGAAGCAGACACTCTCAGTTATGTAAAGTTCAATGACTCTTGTAGTTAGTATTTGATATGTTTCCTTTTACTGTTCCTCCTCAATCCTGTGCACACAGAACCTCAGAAGCCGCATTCTCAACAGAGCTGTCAATCATGTCCTTATGCCCTCTTTTAATAGAGTTAGATAACAAGCGCCAGGACTTGTATCGGCGACTATTGAATGTTCTGGTTCTGTTTTGGTGAATGAATGGAGCTAAAACTCTTCTGTCTTTCTGTTTCTCAGACCAGTGCGGTGCTGTGTTCAGGAGGCTGTGCTCTGCTGGCAGTCAGCTCCCTGTTGGCAATCATCACCATCTTCCTGCCCAGTGGAGGATGCGAGAGGAGGATCTGCACCCTGGCCGGATACATGCAGATGGCAGCAGGTCAGTACAACAGTGAATCTATGCACAGACAAATCAGTACACTCTTACAAGACAAGGACAGGGATATAGAAATCCTCCTCAAATTCTTGAAGTAGTTAAGAGCTGCATCTGTATAAAACTCATTATTCCAGCCTCTTGTATTCTCCCTGTGCCTCTAACTTGAAGCCGTCCTTCACTTTCCCATCTTTCACTATTAAAGCCACTCTGCAACAAGCACTGATAGCGCTTCTACTACCACGAAAACAAAAAGAACAAAGAGAACAACTCGAGGACAACTGCTGCTAGGAAACCAGTGTCTGCATAACACTTGTAGGGGTGAACCTGCGAGGACAGATTTAGAGCGTGCTGTAAAAAGACAATTATGCCTGCTTAACACAGGTCATTGGTTCAGGGCTACATGTGACTTATCAAACTGTCTCTTTCACTCAAACACAGAAGTAGTCTCGTAAACAAAGTGCGGCTGTGTCAGCGGCTGGTCTTTAAAAACCCGTAACACAGCACGGCTCATGTCACTGCTCAGTACAGACCTTCACACTCTCGCCCTGTGCATTGGAGCGTTTTAGAGGCAGGTGCTTCAAATGATTTCCTGTTGTTATGTGAGTAGATACAGTACCGTGCACTTCAGTAACAGCAGCATATTTTTATAATGAATTCAATGGTTATGACTGTGATACTGTAAAAGCAGACACTTATTGAGCTCTCTAACTACACGTTTACACTGGGAAGTATCAAATGATATGACATACTGTAGCTGACAAACTGTTCTTATCATTCAACAAATGGAACTTGTAACAAATCAAAGATAGTATAGAGAGACATACCTGCAAAACTTGTGCAATTCAGCCTCAGTTTGTTTGGTGCTACTATAAGACAGGGATGTTCCTAGGTGACTAATATCAAAGGTGATTAAGCACAAATTCAAATTCAGACTAGAGGACTAATCTAAAGGCAAGAAAACCGTGCCAGTTTAACCTGATGCTGCCTTTTACAGATCGAAATAGTGACAAACCGTCAGGATACAGTATTAAGACAGCATGGCAGTTGTCATTTACCCGAGCGGTAGAAATAATTAGTATAACTAACTCGTAATTCTGAAGCCGACTAGCAAGGGTGACAAAGTTTAACCGTTTTGTTGACTGAACGTGAACATCCCTAATGTAAGGCATACTAACACACCACAGCAAGAATACATGCAAAGTAGTGTTAGACTTGATCAAACTACAATGTATTATGGGTGAATTAAGTAAAAACATCAAGAGACCAAGTAACTGCATTGCTCTATTCCCTGTAGCACAACAAAAAGTGGTGATTTCTTTTTCTAAATTCCTAAATTTTACTTCTTTTTTTTTTGTGATCAATTTTTTATTAATGATTTTCATGTTCAGGCAGCATATACATTTATATATCATATGTCTGAGGAATCTAACACTATGAATTTATCAAACATGTCGTTAATAGGCAAAACATAATCTGTGTTTCTGTCATCAGTTATCATGTGGGTCTATTCATGTATAGCTGCACATTGTCAATCCCTCCCTATTTCCCGTGGCGACATGGCAGCATCAATACACTGTGTTAATTCTAAAGTGTATTAAAACATCATAGCAGATGGGAAGAAAAGGTGTTTCAGAGCTACTATACAATCCTAAAATCAGGAGAACAGCAGGATTAACTTAGTGCTGAAGTTAAAGTTTTCATTATAAAGTAAAATTTTTAGGAAGAATGAAAAGCATAGAGAGGAAACAGAAACTTCTTAATTGATGTCATGAAACTACAATCACAGGCCTGTTTGGTGTGAGTGCCAATTTTTTTAGTCTTCATCTTTTCAAAACTGTAAATATACTTACCTGTAAGCATGTGCCATATTTAAACTTATGTTACGTGACACACAAATTTTAAGAAGTGCAGAATGCTTGCTTGTCATTCTCGTCTTGCTTTTTCCTGCCTCTTCTGAAGCACCTCTACCTCTTCTGATTGCATTTTTATTAAGTTACTCTGAAGTCTCTTCATCTACCCACTCTACTCTTCAGGGTGACTGAGCTTCAAACCTTTAATCGTTATTTTTTCCACTCTCATTTATTTAGCGGCAGCGGCAATTACATAGCCTTGTGAATCCTTGAGAATATTGAGTAGCTAATTTAAATCCCTGCATGTGGCATTTAACTAAGCGTAATGAGAGGCTTGATTCATTGGGCAAATTACATTTTTAGTGACAAACCTGGAGCTTTTCACAGAGCAGGGTTAATGTTGTGTTTAAAGTGGAGTTTGTTGCTTACAGTCCGACTCTCATACTACTCGGTCTGACCCCAGAATCACATTAATGCTACTTTGGGAAGATGAGAAGGCAGTCTGTGGCAAAGCGAACGTGCTGAGAGTTCTCTAAATGTGTGTGTGCATCCCTGCACTGTGTAATAAAGAGAATGCGTGTCTTTCATAGTGACATTTTTGCTAAATGACAATGTGAAGCGACTCAGAGCCAGGCCTTTGTTCAGTTTCCAGGTCGACTCTTGTCTGGATAGATGGAGGTTTCACAGAGAGCCCACAAATCCCTGAGGAGGGCAGATCAGAGGAGTGTTTGTTTCCCCAGCACTGTAAGGATGTGCATGTGTGTGTGAGTGTGTGTGAGAGTGTGTGCTCACAACTAGATTAAGAACAATGGTTTTCTTCATGGCGGGAATATAAACAGTTTTTTTTTAGAGGTGTGTTTTCCAGCAGGCGAGGATGCCGCTTGAACTTTTCCTTGGCAAATCGAAGTAATGCCTGTTTTAATCCTCACGTTTTCTCTACTATCTCTGACTGAAGAGATGTCAGTGTGTTTGTGTGTGTGTGTGTGTTTGTTACCACGCTTATGAATCTGAAAGTCGTCACAAGGATAGAAAAAATCAGCAAAAGCCCTGCAAACTGAGGACATGTTGTTGATCATAAATTATTTCAAAAAATTGGCGTAAAACTTAAAATCAGAGGGTTATAGTAAGTATTGAGGATTTCAGTGCTCAGATTCCTGAATGCAGACTGTTTTGTTTAAATCAGTCACACACCTGTAATGTAGAATACCATAATGATTTTTTTTGCATTTAGGCATTTGTAGATTAATTGTGTTGGTGTATGTCGGCAGGCTGAGGCATAATGTGATGTCTTGGCTCAATATCAGCACCATGGACAGAGTCAAAATTCTAAGCTCTCCGTTGCACTTTTGATGATTTAATTGCAAACATGTGCCACATACACGTCTAATGGCATTTGAAAATACTCTGGGATTGATGATCAATGATCTACTTACAAAAATGTCAACTTACATTGAAAAGTCAATTGCAAAATGTATGTTGTTGATAGCAAAAAATTGAAATGGATTGCTCATTTAGAAAGTTTCAGGTATCCAGATTTGGTCATCTTTAAAAGTCTGTAACTGGATAAGAAATTAGAATTAAAATTAAAATAAAAAATAAATAAAAAAAACAGGACAAAAGTGACCTGGGTTACCTGATCCTAGATCGAAAATTAAGTGGATTAACAAATCTGGATATGGTTTATCAAGATCAAGTGTCCCGCTGTCTATGATGTTGTCTGAGCCGTATCTACATCGTGTTCACATCCCCTCGCGTATAAAAGTTATTTAAGTGAGGGACTAGAGAAAAGAGAATAACACACTGTAATCACTGCTTATTAGAATGTCACGTAAGTGTTTTTAAATCATGGTCAATCCGTGTACATTTATATGCAATGTCAAGCTATGAGCAAACTAAATAGCGCTAGCATTAGCCTGCTAACACAATAATGCAGCTCGAGACAAGAGCATGTCCTCTGGTTGCGCTAGTGCTTAATGAGCATTATAATTTGATAACTCCTTTGTGGAAACACGAGGGGAGAGGGGTTAGAGGGGTGTCAGGGATGAGGGTGGAGGCTCCAGAATAGCGGAGGTGTCACCAAACAGCCGTTTGTTTTGGTTTCATGATGCTGCTCAAGGGCGACATCTACTGCATCAAAAAGTTGCACATTCTTCCTTTAAATGTTTTGAACATCTGGGCCTTTGAGGATTATTCATTTTTGGAAAAACGAAACAGTGATCCATTTGCTCAACCAGAGCGTCAAACACTCGTTTGACAGTGTCCATAACAACTAGCTAACTCTTCTGAAATCTGCTGAGGTCGGAGTATTTCATATCAGGAAGTGACATTTCCCACACAACACTGTTTGTAAGAAGCACACTGGACAATAATTGGCCCTTTGAGGCGTCGACATTTTATAGTGACAAGGGTGGAATGAAGTGAAATTAAGTCAAATCTTTAGACTTTGCCATAAAAATAAAGGTCACCAGTTAGAGCTATATAGTTGTCAGCAGCGGTCTTACAACATTTGCAAATATGTGTGTGTATCGCTAATCACTATGTGTATGTTGGGAATGTTTGTTGGGAATGTGACTTAAACAAATTCTTAGCTGGTGACAGCTTCTCAGAATTCTCTGTCCGTCAATATGTTTTTCTTAGACATCCCTGACCTTTTCTATCACTACCACTCTCCTGAAACGTTTCAGACTGACAGATATAACACTCAGACTGCACTCAGACAAACACAGCATCAAACAAAGGCTGACTCATTGTCTCCTCCAAACTGTCGTCATCTACATCCCGCCTCCACAACACTTAACTGTGTCCGTTTACAGCATCATCTTTGATATCATCTCTGCTATTACTCAGCTGCTAGGTTAAAGCAACAAACCAGTAATGTTTGTGCCTTCATGTCAACATTTCTGTCAAGTCCTGCTCTATAAACACACACAGCCGCGGGCATTATCAAACCAGGAAAAACCTTCTTTTTTTTTTTTCTCTCGAGGTAAACCTGCCTCCTTCTCTCGCTCAGTGATGTGCTCCCGTGGGTGACGTCCAGAATTAGACGTGAACTTGCTAACCCTCCTCTGGTTCGGCTCAGCGCTCCATCCAGTGGTTCAGCTGCTGAGCCTCCATCAATGTTTTACGCCCTGAGAGAGAGAGAGAGCGAGAGAG